TTGGCTGTTCAATACAAAGATTTGACTATTTGTTGCTTTGTTTTTTCAGTTCAGTGCCACACTTACACCTATATCAGCCTACAAAACTCTCATGGACCTCATCTCAAGACCAGATTGTAGGATTTAATGGAATCTAACAATGAAGTTGCAGACTGCAACCAACTTAAACTGCTCGCCTCAACCAAGCATTGAGGTCAGTGTTTTTCACACTTTTTACCCTGCGTATCACCTCAGAAACTATTAGGCTCTCCATGTAACAACATTATGACCGGCATTAAAATACAATAAAAGCTTAAGACTGCAGGAGGCAGGAGATATTATTCCTAATGAAGGCTATTTATTGTTGATTGTTAAATTCTAAATGGAACAGGTTCAAGAAGTAGAGCTAATTTGGTGATTTTGTGCTGCTATTGTGCATCTTGGCTCAATGGAAAGACTCTGTTATACTAAATGCAATGCAAATCTTAATTAGTATCATTGGCAGCACCTGTGTTTACCTTACTATTTCATGTCAAAATGGCTGATGTTATTGAGTAGGTCTATTATCAAGCTAACTTGACTCAACTCCAGTGACTGGGCATTAGTTCACTTCACACAGATCCACAGCCTGTGCAAATTTCATACCATCTTCTCAAAATAATTAGATTTTCTAGGTTTTATGTTGCTTTCATGGCATATAGATGTCTGCATTTTTTGGTCATTTGGGGACAGAACTCCAAAACAACATATTGTAGCTAGCAGAGCATATGAGCGGAGTGGAGCGGGAGCGGAAGGATTTTGTGTTGAGCGAGGAGCGGCAATTTTTTTAAAGCATTTAGCATTTTCAAAGAATGCATCTTTGCACCTGCGCGCACACCCACACTATTTTCTTTCAAAACTATGGAGTTTAATGAGTACTTCAGAAAAGAAACTGAGAAGTCGTACAAGTGTACTATTCCTGTAAAAGTAACAGATGGGGATAATGTGGAACAAGAAAAAGAATGCGGCGACATTGTTGCAGTCGGTAAAGAGTCGTTCGATGCAGGTTTTTTTTTTTGAGCGGAGTGGTGAGCGAGTGGAGCGGGATAAAATGTATGATGGAGTGGAGCGGAGCGAAGCGGAGAATGTGCAGAACCAGGCGGAGCGGATGAGCGGCGCAAATTGACAGGTCTGTGAGCGAGGAGTGGAAATTTTCACCCGGTCCGCTCCGCTCACATGCTCTGGTAGCTAGCTACTATTACATTGTGGCAAACCATTGCACATCCAGCAGAAACAGGGAAACATTCATTTGGCGTCATGTTAAGATCAGAAGTCCAATATTCACTGTCCAATATTCCAATAGACACTTCTTTGGTCTCCACAAACTACTGAGAAATATATTGGCCTGCTGCGACTGGAAACAAGGTTGCTGAGAGCGGTGAGAGTGAACCAGAACAGTAAGGTTGTGGGCCGTAGTACCAAAGCAGTAAGCTAAAAGAATAGATGCTATAACTCCATGTAGTTGAGTGACAAGTGGGTTACACAGTGTACGTGCTTTAGGTGAGCTACCGTGCACCCTGCTTCTGAATGTTTCTACAATGTATTTGATTCGGTGGTGAATGGCACAGAAGTGTCTGGAAGGCAGTCCAAGTCTATCACTCAAGGTAAGTGATGTCAGGATTGTGCACATAATTTGTTACCTCCACATGGCCAGCTCTGCCTGTCAAACGGCAGGAAGCAATCACCATCTTGATGTGATCACTTACAAGTCAAAACGAGGAAAATCTTCCCCATCACTACCTTTCACCTGACATGATGTGAATGCTGCATTAGGCATAATCTCTTTGGAATGAAACATAGCTTAAGTTAATAGGAGGAAACTCTACTGAACAAACCCAAAGGAAAACTCAAACTGAAGGATGAAGACATCAGAATATTTTACATCAGAGAGAGCATGTTCTCTGAAAGATCTCTTTCATATGGCTCTATCAGTGGGAAATTACCATTTTAAAAGGCCAGTGCCCATGTGTGGGTGTATACAATGACAGTTAAAATCTGAGGTGATTAGTGCTCACCTATTTTATAGACCACAGACAGTTGGTTCAGGTTTCCCGGTCTCACAGACTTCAGTCTTATTAAAGAATAACCTTCACAGATTACTCTCATCATATGCGGAAAACATATTTATGAACTTATTTACTTTTGTCTTCTGTATTTCTGAGTGGATTCCACCAACCTGCAAAATGCAGTTACGATTTAACAACTTGGGAGTTAGAATTTAACTCTGATACTCCTACAAATACAAAGAAGCAGGTGTCACGTGCAAGGAATGACGAGGTGTCCAAGCACACAAGGTATTTTTTAATTTGTATGCTTATAGTGCGTAACAGGTAAGTGGGAAAAGATACAGTCTCACAACTGTTCAACTAATTTTGCTTACTGTTCAGTAGTTAATGTGCATCTGATCAGCTGATAGGCTCCATTTAGAGATTAAAGAGAAATTTGACTTTATTTAACAACTGTAGAGGCTCTGGACCTGCTATAGGTCACAACCACAGCTGTGTGAATAAATAGATGTGTGAAAGGTTATAGCTTTTATAGCCAGCCAGCCACACTGAAATGTCAAACTTTATGGATACAATACAACACATCAGCTACTTCACCTAATCTTCTGAGTACCCGTCTATAAGCTCTGACTGCCTCAATGACCATGTTTTGAATACACTTTCTTATTAACATCTGGCAACTGAGTTTCAAATAGAGACTGAGGGTCATAAACACCTTGTAACCAGGCATTATGTTAGTGTCTGGACTCCTGCATTAGAGTAAGATCCTTACATATTGACATTAAACAAGAAAAAGGAGACAAATGCAGTATTTCAATGACAACACCTGTATTGCATTATCAGTAGGCACTAAATCAAACAATCTGAGAGGAAGCTGAAATTGTGAGAAAAAGTTGGCTTAACATTGTTAGTATGCAGGCACACTTTGGCCATGTTTGTAAAAGCTTGATAAGCAGTCAAACACAACTCAGCAATTTTGAAAAACTTCAGGTGTGGGGGATGTGCATGTATATCTGTATGACTGTATAATTAAAAATGGATGTAGTCTCCATGATGTCACTCAGAGGTTTCTGAAGAGCTGTTGTGAAGCTAAGTGTGGTCAGCTCTGGCCATCGCCATCTTGGCAGTGCCTGAGTCACTGGCTCCTGGCTAATCCAAAAACTGGCAAATACTTTAAGTGTGGGAGACGCTGAGGCTGGCTGAATTAAAGCCTAGTTGCCTAAACCAGCTGCCTGTGATGGCACCCACCTGTCAAAGCGACCATGCTCTTAATTATGCACAACTTTAAGCCTTAATATAATTGAAATAGGTTATATACAAATTCACCCCCCATACAGTTGTCCTGAATAGGGAATTTAGCTATAGACCAAAACCATTTTTTGTACATGGCTGTAAACATGTTTGCTTTTTCTCACT